AGAGAGAGAGAGAGAGAGAGAGAGAGAGAGAGAGAGAGAGAGAGAGAGAGAGAGAGAGACCACAGTGGCATATACAAGCCTGTCCACATACAAATAAATGTTTTTTTAATTTTAAGATTGATTTCACAGGACACACCTTTGTTGCTTAGACAACTGGGACTAGGAGACATGGCATCCCAGAGTCAGGATTAAAACACAAACTTGAGTCAGGGGAAAGATACATTTTACCTTTTGTGGTGTTGTTGTTGTTGGGGTGGCATGTTGTTTTCTTAATTCGTTTATTTATTAGTGTGTGTATTTGTGTGGGCAGGCTCATGCCAAGGCATGCTACACCTAGCCTGTTATGTGCCACGAGGAAGGAGAGAGACAACACATGGTTATCAAAGATTTTATTAAATCACCACATAAGTGGATCACTAATCAATCAGGGCTGCAGGACAGGGACTCGAGAGACTTGTTTCTCCTGACAACCCAAGGAAGGGCAGAAATAGGTTTATAAGCATGAAAATCACAAATACTTGTTGCCAAGTTACGATTATGATTTTCACCAATCAGGATTTAGAGATTAGGGGCTTCCTTGAATGTTCCATCATTGTCAACCTTTATACAATGAAAGCCTTTCAGTCCAACCAATCAGATTCATTTATTCTTTTAGTGGTTAAGAACAGCCATAATGTTTCTCGAGAACTAAAGATGCTTAACAACTATTTGTACAGTTTAGGGAGGAAGTTGATCAGCCTTTGGAAAGTTCTCAGTTTGCCTAGGAACCTGAACTTTATTTCACCCTACAGGGTAAAGTCTGAAGTCTAAAGTCAAAATGGCAGTGCTTAAGCCAAGGTGTTTTTGCCTGCTCCCTTCGATATCTGTCAGGGTTGGAGGATAATGTATGGGACCAGTTCTCTCCATCCACCATGGGGGTTCCAGGGATCAAAGTCAGGTCATAAGGCTTAGCATCAGGTATGGTGCCCTGTTGAGCCATTTTACTGGCCCCTACATTTTATCTTTTAGATCTTTGTCAGAGATGTCTGTAATCTGAGGGCATATCACTGGATAAGTTTCTTCCAAGGATCTTTTTACTTTCATTTTATTTTATTTTTGTTTACATTTGTGTGTGTGTATGTGCATGTGCATGCACACATGGGTGCATGAGCACATGCTCATGTGCGTATACATTCCACAATACATGTGTAACGTCAGAAGACAATGCCTGAGCTGGTTTTATTCCCCTCCGTGGGTTCCAGGGGTCAAACTGTCAGGCTTGGCAACAGGCACCTCTACCTGCTGAAGCATCTCACGAGCACCTTTCACTTGCCCTATAAAGGAAGCCTGTTAGGAAAACTGGAAATTATATCTGTCAAACCAGCTGCCTGTTTATCTGTGTGGTTTTTACCCCCTGGCAACACTTCCGTCTACCAAGAATTAAAGACAACATGGAAAAGATCTCCCAAAGTGGGGGTGGGAGGAAGCATTAGAACAGGATAACCTCTGAGGAGCAAAGTCAGTGCACTGGTAGACTGGAATTGACTGCATCCTGTTATTTAATACTCTTACTGCATAAAATCTAAATTTGCCATAATAATTAAGATTCTTGCTTAATGCGTTAGAGTTCTCCAGGGGAAAAATCAAATAGGACACATAGAAACAGAAAAAAAAAAAAAAAACAGTTTATTGGGGCTTGGAGAATGGTTCAGTGGTTAATGGCATATACTCTTCTTGCCAAGGACATGCAGTTTGGTTCCCAATACCCATGCTGGGCAGCTCACAACTGCCTGTAACTCCAGCTCTAAGGGAATCTGATATCTCTGGACTTAGCATGCACCTATACCCATATGTACACACACACACACACACACACACACATATATATCCTTAAAAAAATTGTTGTATAGATTGGTACAAAAACCGGAGGAAAAAGTCAAAATCATAGTATATTTGTTGTCTTCAATAGAGGGACTTGGGATAGTAGTGTGATCCAGTCCAGATTTAAAGGCTAAATAATCAGTGGTACACTCAGTCCAAGGCTTTCAGAACCTAGAGACTGGGATGGGAGCTCCTGTGTAAGTCCCAGAGTCTGAAGGCCTGGGAACAAACTTTAGCATTTCAAAATAGACCAGCTCAAGGAAAGAATAAGTTGGCCTTTCCCAAGTTTTTGAAGTGATCCCTCAATGGATTGGCTGGTGCCTGGCCACATTGACAATGATAAGTCTTTGTTTACTGACTCAGCTTCCAATCTTTTCTAGAAATAACCTTACAATACACCAAAAAGGAAAATAGGAGGTTTTACCAGCTATCTATGCAACACAAGCTGACACATAATGTCAACTGTTGTACCCAGTCACCTCAAAAAGTTGATAAAAGAACAAAGGCTACAACCTGAATATGTTTTTCACATCTCTTCCCATTTCATTTACAGGCCCAGAAAAAAAAAATTTTTTTTGAGACAGGGTCTCTACATATCCTTGACTGGCCTGGTCCACTATGTAGACCAGGCTGGCCTTGAACTCACAGAAATTCACCTACCTCTGCTTCTTGGATGCTGGGATTAATGACTTGCACCACCATGCTGGTCCAGAGATCTTTTTTAATATAAATGAAGAATTGGAAATAAATACAACTATGGTTGACTTCCAAAAGGTAATTTTGGTATTGTTTTTTTTTTCTTATTTCTTTATGGAGAATGGGAATGGTAAAATGTTTCAGATAGTAGTGGTCAGGCATCTTGGTGCTCTGTAACTCTGCCTACTGACAAACACAATGAGTAGGTTTATCTTCATAGGCACTTCATAAACAGTTATCAGAGTAATGTCAGCAAATGGGCTAGAGACTTCTAAAGAAGTGTGATTTCTGTCCTCCCCACCCCCCAATCCTTCT